CCCACCATATTCTCCAGATATGACACCATCAAATTACCATCTTTATTGACGTTGTAATTAACAAAAGTAGGTGCTATATTAGTATCACCTGTGGAACAATATGGTTATATTGACGTTGTAATTAACAGAAGGAGATGCTGTATTAGTATCATTTGTAGAACGATATGGTTATATTGTCGTTGTAATTAGCAGAAGAAGGTGCTATATTAGTATCATCTGTGGAACAATATGGTTATATTGACGTTGTAATTAACAGAAGGAGGTGTTATATATTAGTATCATCTGTGGAACAATGTGGTTATATTGACGTTCTAATTAACAGAAGGATGTGCTATATCAGTATAATTTATAGAACAATATGGTTATATTGACGTTGTAATTAACAGAAGGAGGTGCAATAGTAGTATCATCTGTGGAACAATATGGTTATATTGACGTTCTAATTAACAGAAGGAGGTGCTATATTAGTATCATCTGTGGAACAATATAGTTATATTGACGTTCTAATTAACAGAAGGAGGTGCTATATTAGTATCATTTTTGAACAATATGGCTATATTGACGTTCTAATTAACAGAAGGAGGTGCTATATTAGTATCATTTGTAGAACAATATGGTTATATTGACGTTTTCATTAACAGAAGGAGATGCTATATTAGTATCATTTGTGGATCAATGTGGTTATATTGACGTTTTCATTAACAGAAGGATGTGCTATATTAGTATCATCTGTGGAACAATGTGGTTATATTGACTTTGTAATTAACAGAAGGAGGTGCTATATTAGTATCATCTGTGGAACAATGTGGTTATATTGACGTTGTAATTAACAGAAGGAGGTGCTATATTAGTATCATTTTTAGAACAATATGGCTATATTGACGTTGTAATTAACAGAAGGATGTGCTATATTAGTATCACCTGTGGAACAGTATGGTTATATTGACGTTGTAATTAACAAAAGTAGGTGCTGTATTAGTATCACCTGTGGAACAATATGGTTATATTGACGTTGTAATTAACAGAAGGAGGTGCTATATTAGTATCACCTGTGGAACAGTATGGTTATATTGACGTTGTAATTAACAAAAGTAGGTGCTGTATTAGTATCACCTGTGGAACAGTATGGTTATATTGACGTTGTAATTAACAGAAGGAGGTGCAATAGTAGTATCATCTGTGGAACAATATGGTTATATTGACGTTGTAACTAACAGAAGGAGGTGCTATATTAGTATCATCTGTGGAACAATATAGTTATATTGTCGTTGTAATTAGCAGAAGGAGGTGCTATATTAGTATCATCTGTGGAACAATGTGGTTATATTGACGTTGTAATTAACAGAAGGAGGTGCTATATTAGTATCACCTGTGGAACAATATGGTTATATTGACGTTGTAATTAACAGAAGGAGATGCTGTATTAGTATCATTTGTAGAACAATATGGTTATATTGTCGTTGTAATTAGCAGAAGGAGGTGCTATATTAGTATCATCTGTGGAACAATATGGTTATATTGACGTTGTAATTAACAGAAGGAGGTGCTATATTAGTATCATTTTAGAACAACATGGTTATTTTGACACTGAAATTAACAGAAGAGTTTATTTGCACGATGTTCAATATAAACATATGCTAAATGATGTAGAAAGTTCTATAACAATTGCATTTGGGTACATAGAATAGCTTTTAGCATCCTTAGTATAAATATGATACCACCTAAGAAACGCAAACAAAAGAATATCAAGATAAAAAGGGACGGAAAGAATTATTTTTCACTTTATTGAACAGGAAGTGTTTTAGAGAAGTCGTCTAAAATATGCACATGAACCCTTTAAATATCTTAATGGCGCAATATAATAGACAGTATTAACATTTAAAAATTTAATTCGGGTGCTTCATGTCGCCTGCTACAGTTTTCCTTGAATTATGTTCGCAAACTTCACTTTGGCCAAGTCTCTATTGACAGACTTTTTAAAGCTCGTTTCTAACTTCTCAATCAAATGGCCCTTAAAGACATTAAATATCTTATGGCCAAATGAAGTCATAAGTTTGTTCAAAAATGCGCCGAAAGGGCCACCCCCGAGCAGATTATCAAAACGAACACCAATGGCACGGAAATCGATGTCCAAGTCGACGTTATCTAATTGAATTGTACCGCCAGATGTCAGGATCAGTACAGCAGCTCCATATATTTTAGCATTAGTAGCTGTGACTTGAAATTTGCCGTTTCCATTAAGCGGGAAAAGCCTAGCCACTATGCCATCTAAGAAGTACGTTCCAGTAACAGACAAATTCGGAATCAACAGCCCTAGCTCAAGCTTCAAATTTCGGACATCTGCTTGGAGGGTACTTATTTGAATTTGTGATAAACCGCTGATCTTAAGATTTTTTAACTGAGCTCGAATCCGCGTCCCATGATTGTTCTTGTTTATGTTTTTGTTGGGGAGCTTCAGGGGATCCAGGACTGGAAGGTGCAACTCATCACTTCCGGTTCTCATTAAAACCCGAAAATTACCGATTATTTTCTTCATGTAGTCGCTGAATGCCTGGTCGGACTTCACTGTTCGAAGCACCATCTCTCGGCGCCCGTGCACTCCTCGAGCAACCAAATTTTTACCTACACGTCAGAAAAAAAAATTACATTAACGCAAATCAAATTATTTCACATATTACTAATTAGTTTTACTCATTAGTATAAATATAGCATTTTTATATAATTATAGTTTAATTTTTAAGACGAAGCTAAAAGCTGTTCAATAATTATGTTACCTGCAACATTTGAAGGAAAGTTATAGTTAAAAGAGCATCTTTGATGATAGTTTGAAGACAAGTTTCAGAGATTATTTGTTTGTTGTTAAGCACAAAGCTACAGAATGGGTTTTCTGTGATGATCGCGCCACGTGTATCGAAACCCGGTTTTTAGCGTTATAAGCCTGCATATTTACTGCTGAGTCAATGGATGGCCTTTTCAGAGAACAAGGCCAAAACCAAAAAGAGGCACGCAGAACAGACGAACAGATATAGGAAAGACACAAACTACAGTGTGAGAAAGTTGTAATGTACCGAAAAATAAGATGGTATCAGATGAATTGGGAAACACGTAATAATAAGGATATACCGCCTATCAGAATTAACCTCTGTTACCTAGCCTCAATGTAGAACAAAAAATATTAATGAGTAGACATGAATTCTAAATCACCGTCTACATCTAATTGTGGAAAGTTAGTCGCTGCTTAAGGAACGGAATTGTAAATATAAATATAAAAATAATACATATTGTTACGCCTCCAGTCGTTCGTTAATTTTCTGTAAATTCGTTCCGACAAAACTTTAGCGACACAAGTCCTTTCTCAAATAAAACTGGTTTATTCTTTCCGAATACAACTTTACGATACACTTAATTTCAACAGTCGCGTTATAACAAACGCTATAACAACGAACGTCTCACGTGCTCAACGTCAATAATACTCAGTTCAATTACACACTCTCTGACTGCAGTTCAATTACTCATTACACTGTTGTCCCGTCACGTTGTGAACGTCTTATATATACAAGACTAACACATGTCTAGTAAATGCTATGGCATTCATGAAGGAACAGGATATTTCTAGAAAGACGTGGCGTGATATTAGTCACGTGACCTCGCTGACGCAACACTTCATTAGTTCCAGGTTTACAGTTGTGATATCGTGAGATGTTTTATTATGACTTTATTTTAGGCCTGTGTAAGGCGGTAATTAATTTTTTATGTTATTGTCAATAAGTGTGTAATGAGACACAAAACAACTAATCAAAACATTTCAGAGGTCTCTTTGCCCCCAGGTACTGAAAACCCTTGCTACGCCACTGTGAAGGTTTCTTGGGTCCATGGGGAGATACATAAAAAATTTTGACTTTTGCGGTTTTTGTATTTTCGCATTTTTTACCACTACTTCGCCCCCTGTTGATGGATCTTCACCAAATACGGCATAAAGGATTGTTTGGTACATGGGGGAGGGGGGATACATACAAATTTTCAGTTTTGCGGTTTTTACCGCTACTTCGCCCTTTGTTGATGAACCTTAAACAAATTTGGCATGAAGATTTGTTGGGTCTACGCGGAGATACTTGCAAATTTGCGGTTTCACATTTTGCGTTTTGCAGTTTTTATGGGCCTTTTTTACAATTACATATAAGGGAAACAACTTTTCATGTCCTAAGATAACCTTTGATTAATCATGAATTTACATAACTTCCGTCCAGGCGACGGGTACTCCAGTTAGCATGTATTAGTTAAAATTAAATCCACAGTTTTTGGAACTTCGACATAAACTCCGATACTACTTTCGGCACATTCACATGCCCTTCTCATTCGAAGTTATAAGCCCCAGATCTGCCGCTGAGCATGGAGGGGTTACTGGAACAAATCTTTCTCTCTGAGATGCCGGCAAGTATTGAAAGCAGGTTTTTAACGGTGAGAAGAGGACAAAGAACTCACTGTGTAGCTTTGTGCTCAACAACAAACAAATAAACGTCCCAACAAGAGGCTTATGTGGTCCTGTATTTCCTGTAGGATACATGTGTTGAGAAAACAATTCAATTCGAAATGCCCCTCAGAAATGGTGACCTTCGCAATGCTATTAATTACACAGCTTTTAACATTTCTTCGTTTCATGTAATTTTCTCCCTCAGTTCCTAAGATCTCTTTTGTGTTCTGTTATTCGTCTGTTTCATTTTGTTCCTGTTTCACCAACGTAAATATATATCTTTTCGCGAAAGTTTGTTGATGTTAGTTTCTTATTAAGAGAGTTTAGATACTTGTATGTCACAATATATTAATTTTGGTTTAGAATCTTCGCCATGGGTTCCAACTTAGTCTTGTAGTTGACATAAAGCGGTTTCTTCTTTCTTATTGTACTTTCTTCTTCTTTTGTTCTATTTCATTCATTATGTTTGAAAAGGTTTCTCTGGCTTTTAGATGTTCGTTTTTAATAAAATTTACAGTGAATAATAATTATTTCAGAATATAATTTTTTTTATTTCATATTCTAATGTTAGTGGACTCTGTAGCCTCTTAAAAACCTAGATAGAGGTTTTAAATATTTTGTGGTTGCACGAGAAAAAATGGATATATCTGGAAATCTTCGTAGGTGTTCTGTAGATCGAAACAACACGTCTTGATTCAGTACTAGTTATAAGTTCGTCCAAGATTCAATATATACTAGTTATAAGTATGTCTAAGAAGCCTCCCAGAGGCACAGCGGATTGTCTGCGGACTTACGTCGCTATAAATCGCGTTTCGATACCGTGGTGGGCAGAGCACAGATAGCCCCTTGTGTAGCTTTGTGATCGCTTCAGTTGAATCAAAATTCAGAGCAAATTATCGTACTAGAGCTGAAAAATGTAAGTCATCAAGTCACTCAGATCATTAGCATTTGGTAAGGTGCAAACTTAGGGGTAGTTCTCCCCCCCCTTTTTTTTCACGAAATCAAACATAATTTGTTTAGCAATACTGAATGTGTAAATTGATTAACTCAGTTACTGTCAAAATAATTTCATATAAGATATATAAGGCCTATTAACCTGGGGTAAATTTTGAAATTGAAATCGTTGGAACAAAAAAGGGGTGTGGAAACAGTTTACATCCAGCAGTGGAATAGAAAATTTGTTGTGTTTTCATAAAATGGTTTAGATTCACTTTGCCCCCACTTTGCGTTACAATGTGACGGTCAATCCCACTATTCGTTGGTGAAAGAGTAGCACAATAGTTGGCGGTGTGTGATGATAACTAGTTGCCTTCCCTCTAATCTTTCACTGCTAAATTAGGGACAGCTAGCGCAGATAAAACTTTATAAGTGCTTGTTGTTGTTTTTATTTGTTTGAAATTTCGCAAGAAGCTACTTTATAATTGCAAAACAAAAGATCCAGGAGTATGTTTTCTTAAGAATGCTAATTTATACAAAGGCAAATAAAAAAGACCCTTTATTTAATTAACTTCGTTATAATTGATCATAACATAAAATACAATATACTTACGATACAAAATTCTGTGTTTACTCGGGCAACACAAAGGCAAGAATAAGAGGGAAAACAATACAAAAATCTTCATGATGAGGACAGTGCTAAACCAGCCCTATCGTTGAATGTTTTAAACTCTATAAATAAAAAAAGAAAAAATATAACAGACTTATTGTTTTCGTGGAAAGTTTAACGTCAATAAAGACAAATCGCGAAGCATAATAAATTTAAAAACAAAAACGACACTCAATTAGAAGCTGAGCTGTTAATTCGTACATTTTTTAAGTGAGTCATTAAAAATATTACGTACTTCAGATATATTTTTGTGATAAACCCTAAACACTTGTCTTAAAGTGTTGTTAATCAGTAGCTGGCATGAACAAAAAGGCAATATTTCTGAAAGTGATTGTTTTTTATTGAATTTGAAATAACTTGTAAAAAAGACAAAAAGATCGTTGAATCGGAAATAATTCTAAATTTCGACTTTACGTTTCTTTTTTAAAACTAGAAAACATTTACTTATCAATAAAAGTGTAGCAAGACTTAAGTCCTACAGTTCGAGCCCATGGATTTTTTTCTAAAAATAAAATAGAATGAAAAAGAGAAACTATATGCAACTGAAATTATAATATTTTCACTAAATATGTAAAATTGATAAGACTAAGGTGTGTGTGTGTAATGGAGTGTGAATAGTAAATAAATATAGATAAATTCTTGTAAAATTAATAAGACTAAGGTGTGTGTGTGTAATGGAGTGTGAATAGTAAATAAATATAGATAAATTCTTGTAAAATTAATAAGACTAAGCCTCCAGTGGCAAGGCGGTATGTCTGCAGACTTACAACGCTAGAATCCGGGTTTCGATACCCGTCGTGGGCAGAGCACAGATAGCCCAATGTGTAGCTTTGTGATTAATTACAAACAAACAAATAAGACTAAAGTGTGTGTGTGTGTAATGGAAAGTGAATAGTAAATAAATATAGATAATTTTTTGTAAAATTAATAATGTTAGGACAGCGGAAGTCACGCGACGCTGGGAGCATGCGCGCTGGAGTTTCTAGAAGGATCATGACTTTTCCTGGCAACTCTAGTCGGTTCCAAGCGCCCTCTTTTTTTTAATATATAAGCCAGGCAAATAAAGTGGAGAAAGAATGGCAGATAGATAGATATAGAGACAGATAACTGAGTCAAGCGAGCGGTAGTGATGGTAATATAAAGTGTGTGTTTTGTTATCGAGATAGCAAACGTACTGACTTGTACATTCTGTGTATTGCAAAGTTGTATCGAGAAAGAATAAACTAGTTTTAATTAAGAAAGGACTTGTATCGCTGATGTTTCTCGGAAAAAATTTCTACCGGAAATTAACAAACAAGCAGATATGCAACAAACAGGTGTCAGAAGTGGGATGGAAAAAAAAGAAGATGGAAACGAGAGGTGGCAAATCAAACTACAGCTTAGCAGATTTGATGGCAGCAATACAAGAACAGCAAAAGAAACAAGAAGAGAGATTACAGCAGTTGTTGGAGGAAAAAGAAAAGAAACAATAAGAACGAGAAAAAGAAACAAGAAGAGAGATCACAGCAATTGTTGGAGGAAAAAGAAAAGAAACAAGAAGAACAAGAAAAGAAACAAGAAGAGAGACAACAGCAGTGGCAAGAAAACCTGTAACAGTGGCAGCTCGAACAGCAAAATAAACAAGAAGAGAGATTACAACAGTTGTTGGAGGAAAAAGAAAAGAAACAAGAAGAACGAGAAAATAAACAAGAGAGACTACAGCAGTGGTTGGAAGAGAAAGGAAATAAACAAGAAGAGAGACTACAGCAGTGGCAGGAAAACCAGCACCAGTGGAACAAGAAAAGATACAGGAAGAAAGACTCCAACAGTTGAAAGAAAACCAGCACACACAAATGGAAAATATTAGTAAATTTCAAACTGAATTAAGTACATTAAAAAATGATTTGCTGTCTTTTACACAAGGGGGATATATAAGCCATGGACCTAATCAGCCCCAGACAATGGGAAGCCCCTTCCAGACCCCGCAGCTAAACCCTATATTGCAGACATCTTCAGTCCTGTCAAAAGTCACATTCCAGACATGAGTGTCAGCAATAGGGGTGATCTAGTATGAAGTTAGCCACAGGAAGTCGATGGGAAGGCACCCTGTGAAGCATATAGAGCACAATTTGAGCTCCTAGCAGAGATGAATGGATGGACAGAGGAGCAGAAGGCAGTGTACCTGGCAACGTG